CAGCTGCGAGACGGAGTCGCAGGTGGTGGAGTTGGGTGTTAGCCGATTCGATGTGTAGCCGATGGCATTTGATGAGCTGGCGTCTCATTCGTTTCAGCCAGCCATACCACATCGCACCATGGTTGAGGGTCTCGTCAGCTCGCATCTTGCCAAGAAGAGTGGTGGCCTCCATGGTGATGGCACGTTGGATGTTGGGATCGGACAGCAGCTCTCGTGGTAGTCGCCAGTAGCCCTTGGTAGTGGTGCAGAGACTTTGGGATAGAGTCACAGTGTGGGCGAGATGGTCACCACCATAGCCGTTCGGGTCATATGTGGCCACGGGGTTGAGATGGGATGCCATCGCGCTATCCAAGAAGAGGTAGTCTAGCCGGTTGACCCGCCCAGGGCCACTAAACAGACGTGTGGATGGATTGAGCTGGCGCCACACATCAACCACACCCAGTGCTGTGAGCCACTCCACACAGTCCGTTCTGCCACTCCCCTGACTTGAGTGCAGGGTCGTGGCATCGAGGGATGAAAGCAGTGGCATATTGAAGTCGCCACCCACCACGTGAAGGCTGTTGGGCTCAAAGTCACGAGGCAGTGATGCGAAGAAATCACCCCGGAGAAGGGGCTCCACAGGAGCATAGACATTGTGAATGTACACCGGCAGGTCACTCCACAATGCTCTGACCACCAGGTAACGGCCCGGGATATCGTGGTTGGACACGTGAACCAAGGTGGAGTAGCCAGGCAAGGACTTGTGAAAGAAGCTGGCTACCCCGCAGTGCCGACGGTGAACCGGGTCGGCAGTGGTTGCTCTTGGATCGTTGGTGAAGAGGGTGTAGTTGCCAGCACCAACCTCATTGTTGAGGTGGTGGTGGAAGGTATCGAGTTGTTGTGCATTGCGCATCTTCGTTTCTTGAAAGACGACGCAGGTTGGAGGTTTTTTGAGACGTCGAGCCACGAGATGTCCGTTGATCTTGAGGCCGTTCAGGTTGCAGGTGGTGATGGTGAAGGATGAGGTTGGGTCGAGGAGGTTGGCCGGTAGCACCTTAGTACTGACGGTTGACCACTTGGGTCATGGTGGAGTCGTCCACCGGGGTGGCAGTGTCATCCACTTCGTCAGTCGGGACGACAAATCGGCCCAATTCCTGATCCCATCGTGTGATGCCGATGTGTGGAAGGCTGACGAATCCACTCTCATGAATGTCGTACAGGTGCGCCATGACTCGGTTCATGTCGTCATCACCATCAAACATCGTTTCCATGATGCGCCACAGCTCTTCACCAAGGTGGGTTGACATGAGGACAGCTAGCATGGTTGGAGCCGAGAGGGAGCGCAGCCCACGGTGCGCAGGGATGATCTCAATGGTGCATCCAGTGGACACCATGACGGCTGCATCGGATGCAAAGTAGAGAGGGCTATGGGCTGCTGCAAGCACCTCAGCCAGTGCCAGCACCAGTTCCAAGTCCAATCTGGACAGGGTCAGCTCGTCACCAGCTTCCGTCTCGGAAACGATGGGTGTCGGAGTGTTGCAGGGCCCGGAACAGCTCAACCACCGACTCTCTGGTCATCTTGTGTCCAAACGACTTGGTGTACAGCTTGTCAAATGATGCTGAGCCACCCCAGGTCGCACGGAGCCAGCGGTGCAACAAACGCTGGCGAATGAGCAGCTCAAAGGTGGGGCGATCTGCAGTGAACAGACGATGCAGCTGGACCCCAAAGTCCACTGGGTGTCGTGCCATCATGATGCAGATCGAATCCACACGGCCAGAGTCGAACTCACTGCCACGAACAGCATCTGCCACATGGGATTCATGGTAGCGCACTAGATTGGGCCTCGAGGAGTTGCAGCTCGGCCAGCAGATCATCCAGAGGCACCTCGACGTGTGAGACTGTGCCCTTGGTTGGTTTGGGGCACGTCACATACTCGTCGGCAGTGGGGTGGGCAAGGTCGTTGTCGGGCTGGTGCAGCTCGGGGATGATGGATTCAAAACTCACACCATCGTGGTTGGCCCGGTGCACCGCATGTCCAACGTTCCAACGCTCATGGAGTGCCGCAAACGCATTGGGTGACTGACTGACGTCCAGGATCGACCAGGAGTGTGAACACGGTATGGGGCTGGGTGCACAGACATTGGCTTGCGGCGGACATCCGTCCATGCGTTGGGGTCCTTGGTCGTGGTTTTCTGCCGTTTAGCCGGTGTGGCCTGAGTTGCAGTGGTGGTGGAGGTAGGGGGGGTCGTTGGAGTCACGTGAGTTGTTCCAGCTGCGATGGAGTCCAAATCAAGACGAGCCAGTCGCTTGTCACGAAAGAACCATCCACGGCCATAAACGCGGAGGCACCGACCACGGAAAACGAATTCCTCAACCATCCGACCATCGAGCAGCATGGTGGATGGGATTTCAGACCCCAGGAAGTGGATCCGGTAGCGCGATCCAGCCAGGCCCGTCGTCGCAGACACACTCGTATACAGACCCCATAGGAAACGAGGTTCGAGGTGGTGCAAGGTTTCAAACAGGAGCCGTTCCTCAAACAGGCCTTGCAGGCCAGCCGGGATGTCCATGTAGAACCCATCGAGCGCATGCGGAAGGGACATTTGAAACGACATCATGGTGGTGGTCTTGATCTTCCCAGACGTCGTGGTCACACGCAACTTCAATGTCGTTCCTTGAAGTTGACGGAGAGCAGTGTCACTGGCGATACCCCACCGTAACATACGGTTTTGGGTATCCTTCTCACATTTGATGACGTCAACGAGGGTGTCGCCCTTGACCAACGACTGGTTGTCGTGCAGCAGCGACGCCATGGCGGCATCCTCGTTGATCGCCTTGGTATGGTTGCCCGTGTCCATGTGCAGCCACCCGACGACCTCACGCTTGTCGTGCTTCTGGATAGGCATGGTGTCATGGAAGGCGAGCGTTCCGGCAGCGTGCTTGGCCAAGAGAGGTGCCAGGTCGGCCATGGATGGACGGTAGACCCCCACATCCTTCGTCCGGGCGGTCTTGGTGGCCTCGGCACGCTTGGCAGCAAAGGCAGCCCATGGATCGGTCGATGGCGGCGTGGTGGCAGTCGTAGCCGAAGCTGCAGAGCCACGGGCGCGAGGGAGCGAGCGTGGGTTGACGTTTTCGGACGATCCAGCGTCACCAACACGAGCAGGTAAGGTGGCTTGGGACGATACATCACTTCGCGCATCGCCAGGGCTGACGGTGTTGGCGGTGGATAGGCTCAAACGGCCAGAATCGTCGTTGGCGGTCACCGGCGACCCCAAATCTGGATCGGCGACATCCATGATGGTGCTGGCCACTCTGGTAGGCCCGGTGGATGGTGGTGAGGCTGACCGGTCACGCAGCATAGGCGCAGGAGCGGTTGCAGCACTCACGGTGGTGGTCCCAGACTGGCTAGGTATGGTCGGGTGGTGGCTCAACGTCGTCCAAGAACCCAAGTTTGCACCCGTGGCGCCGTTTGAGGTGCCGTTTGGCACACCGACAGGTACTATTGAACTCGGGGAGATGGCATGTTGACGCACCATATGCGGCGAATCAGGAACGGTGGAGGCGGCGTCGCGCCCCGCCGAAAACAGGATCAATCCAAAATCGCCCATTTCGGCCACCGGAAAGGTCAAATCGAGGATTTCAACCTCCATATCATCGGACACCATCTCACCAGGTCCCATGGTAGGTCGTGAGAGTGCATCAATGGTCTGCACCATAGAATTGGTGCCGGCGGCGACGGTAGCGGGTAGATACCATAGTTAACTCAAGTAAACAAGTGTCTTGAAAATTTATGAGGCAAAATAGGAACTGTGCCACATTAGCTCAGTTGGTAGAGCGTCAGTCTTTTAACCCAAAGGTCCCCGCTTTGAATCTGGGTCCCGCCATTCTTTTCGACGAATTCAAAAACCGTCACGCGACATCCCTTCTTTTCAGGAAGGGATATCCGGATGAAGAGGACCCGCGGTTCGGTTAAATAACCGGATCGTGAAAACACTGTAAACACAACCAACACCCCCCAGTGAGCCCAATCAGCCGGATAACGCGAGAAGGCAATATTGTAAATTAGGAATAATATCCGGTTAAAATTCTAATAAATCTCCATTGACAATGAGCTATTCCCCCCCGTGAGAGTGGTTAGGATGACTATTCAAGAGCACACCGACCAGTAGGCCACTAAACCAGTGACTGAAATTTTGTTCAGTACTTTTCCATTCTACTATTTCGAAGTCTACAATTCAAAATCACAATGTGATTGGGCAATGACAAAGTGTCTGGTGAAGTAGGAATGTCATTGGCTGAGCATACATAATCCGAACAATGACCATGTAACCGAATGTACACTTTGCGGCTAATGAGTTTCTCATTGACTTTGGAAATCACTGAGTGTTTTCCGAAATATCTACCAATGCATTGTATACTGGGCATTTCGATCGAATGGTATGAAGCATTCGTTTGTTGGGGACTCAAAAGCGCATAACCTCCAATACTTAAAAAACCTCAATAAATTACAAGCAAATATCCACAGTCGAAATGATTGGATTTGGCGCGGAAACAACGCCAGAGAGCACTGCCACACCATCCATTCCAAAATTTTCTTCGCTGCTCACGTCCTTAAAACACTGCGGCTCGTGGGATATTGTCGCTGCTGTCTTCAAGGAGAAGTCAGCAACCTTTTCCAAAGGAGTCACGGGGTTCCTCCAGTGTGTCCATCCCTTCATGAAGCACAAGTACATTGACAACGTTGCGTCGAAGCAGACTATGGAGCTCCTGCGGTCATCGCTTTAAGAACTTCCCTGCTGCGATGTACGCTGTTGACGTCACGTTTCAGCAAACCAACGCACCTGCTGGGTCCTTTGCGGAGAAGAAGCTGTACTTCAGCAAAAAGCACGGCCACTATGGATTCAAGGTGGACGTCAGTGTGCTGCCCAGTGGTCATGCTATCAACGTCACTTCGGCGGCCCCCCGAAGCATTGCGGACATTGCAATCTGTGAGTCCAACATTGACTTCCACGTGGAGAAACTTGAGAAGACCTCTCACGATGAGTCGATGCTTGATGCTGACCCACTGGTGACCGAGTATCCTACAGCTTGGGCGCTTTTGGCCGACAAGGGATACCAAGGATTGCACCGACGTGTTCGTGCGATTACTCCGGCGAAGAAGCCAGCTGGCGGCATGCTGTCCCATGCTGAACTTGTCCGAAATGACAAGATCGCGAGCGACCGTGTCATTGTGGAGAACTTTTTTGGCCGTCTCAAGACGTTGTGGTCTATTGCCAGCGACAAGTATGCGTGGAAGCGGGAGAACTATGATATGTTCTTTCAGGACTGTGTAGCATTGACTAACGTTCATATTAAATCTTTACCATTGCGAGAGGACGATGAAAATGATCATAATAGGTATGTAAATCGTCTTCTTGCACTTGGGGAGCGGACCAAGGACAAACGTACTAATTCTGCCACGAAGTCTCGAGATCGGCGCAAACAGCGTTTATCCCTACTACTACCTCCCGAGGACGTTGGCCATTACGGTTACGACAGTCCTGATGGCAGTGGGATTTTTGATTAGAGTATACAGCTGTAATATGCAATAATACTGTTGCTGGTGCTTAAAACGTTAACTTCCAAAAATACACTGTACCATCGAAATCGGCGTTTACATTCGTTGTTTACTCGTTGACTTCCGAAATCAGTCAATCTCCCCTGTGTGACGAATGTATTCGGATTTTAGTACAGTGGATCGTGAAAGTGGAGTATAGTTCTTGAAGTGCTCGGTCATTGGTCTAGTGGTCTAGTAAATGTACCTTTTCGACAAATTTTCGGACAATTGTCGCACAACGCCACGTTTGAGGAATCCTCAAAATACACTACGCGTTTAGAACCCCAGCCTGGGGTCCTGGAGCAAGCGCGTGTGTAGGAGATACCGCCACAATACGCTGCAGCGGGAGCCTGGTGACCCGACGTAAACGTGCGTAGTGTACTCCACGCCACCAGCCTCCCGCAGCAGCGCTTTTGTGACATTCAGCCTACTCTACAAGCTCCCATAGTTGTGTGCCCCGCAAGTAATGAGTTCTTTAAAGAATTTTATTGGCTATAAATAAATGCACGTATCCAATCAAAACCAATTATATCTGGAAATCAAAAATTGCCGAGAAGTTTGCGCAGGGGCCATGCTACCTCTCCGTCGCTGTTTGCTGCGCTTTGGAGGTACCTTAACTGACAACTTGCATAGTAAAAACGAGTGGAGATTATACTGCTGGTGAATTTGCCCGTCGTTGTTGCTCGCATCAATGACCACAACAGAGTAAACCGACCATGATGGCATTCGCGTAGCGCAGCGCGTACACGGTTTCCACGAGGCAGAGAAGGATGGTGACGGCGGTGAGGACCGCGCCAAGGACGAGGCGACTCACGTAGGCTGCGAGGAACTGATGCAGCAGATCGAAGCTGACCACGGAGAAGACGGCCTGGATGCCGAACGCAGAGTTCTACCAGAGTCCTTAACCATGCAAACAGTCCCATTGAAATGACAATGCGATGTATGGTTTATGATGCTCCCTTGCGTTCTTACGTCTGTGCAATGTGATTTGGCGTGAATAACCAGTTGACAGTCTCAACGACTACCGGTAGTTATGCATGTACTAGTGTGCTAGCTATTTGGGTTAATAATTTAGAGTGGCGGTGAATCCACACATGAAAGTAGAAGTTCAGCCACTAAGAGCGACTTGCTCATAGTGCATGTAAATCGCTACAGTTGTATCGATTGCAACCCCTACATCGTTTATAACCCCCCATGGCCTTCTGTCCCCTCCACAAAGATTCTGTTTGCGGCTTATCTACGTTTGAAATCACACAATAACCACTTACGAGGTTAGAACCACCATTCACGACATCATGACTAGCTCATAGTGATTGACGATCGCCAGAATAGCAGCGACTGCACCCCCTGCACCTCAACAGCCCATATGTATCCCCCCTTCCCCTCACAATATTCGACTTGTAGTTTCCCCCAAGCCAAATTGCTTAGCACACTCTCTATTGTTCTCAACGTTCACTCGAATATACAAATAACACTGTCAAGTGCATACTCCATCCACTCGTATTCCCTAATCCTGAAAGAACTGAACTACACTTCGCAATATATCGCGCGATACCAGTTCTTGGTATTTGTGCTCTGTGAAGTGTGGGATGTTGGAATTCAGACGATAAATGCTTGTCACTATGAGCCAAGAATGATATGAGTGAGCACAGTATGAGTTGTAAGACACATATTGTCCTAGACAAACCGGTAGGGGGATGCTACATGTCGAATATTGTGAGGGGAAGGGGATACATATGGGCTGTGGAGGTGTAGGGGCTTCAGTCGCTGCTATTCTGGTGATCTTCATACACTCTGAGCTAGTCATGATGTCGTGAATGGTAGCTCTAACCTGGTAAATGGTGGTTGTGTGCTTTCACATGTAGATAAGCTACAAGCAGAATCGTAGTGAAGGGGACAGGAGGCCGTGGGGGTTATACACGATGTAGGGATTGCAATCGATACAGCTGTAGCGATTTACATGCACTATGAGTAAGTCGCTCTTAGTGGCTGAAACCTCTACTTTCATGTGTGGATTCACCGCCACTCTGACCCAATTGCTAGCGTTTACACGAATAACTTGTCGTTGAGCTCCATACACAGTGTACGTTTTACTTCTTACAGTTAACTTTCACGCAAAGTCACATTGCACACACATAAGGCATACTAGTACAAAGGAATATTTACAGCGCTACGTCAAATTGCTAGCTCATCTGCTGGCATGGTTCAGGACTCTAGAATGCTTGTCTTGCCTTACTAGCAGAAATGGATTTGCTCGTCGTTGATGCGGCAAAAACAACGGGCTAATCCTCTAGTATACTGTATCAGCTCCTCTCGTTATCACTGTGTTAGTTGTGAATAAGGTACATGCAAGTAAGGCTAAGTAGTTAGTACATCAGTCAGGCAATACGAGGCAATACGCTTCTCATCAACCCTATCATACTCCAGAAGTACTGCGTTTTGATTGGATAAATAATATTTTTATGGCCAACCACACATTTCAATGCTGTCATTCTTCAATTTGCCACCTCACACACACTGCTCACTGGGTCCACGGGAATTTAAGTGATCGATCCCCTTGAGCATTCAGCCATCCGTTGGTACCGCAAGCAAGGTTCATTCTAACGTTATATCTAGGCAGTACATATATATCTCCCATAGAAGATGACTTACAGAAGCAGCACAAAACACGACCCACACACGACATACGTGAAACTTTGGCGGCTTGTGGCATAGACTGACACATTCAGCCTACGCCACAAGCTGGCAAAGTTTCCATGGGAGTCTGGTAGCATAGAGTGCAATTCACACGACTGCTCCAGGTCACGAGGCCTAGAGCAATCGTTCGAGGTTTAGCCCCACGTAGCTACGTACTCGCAGTATTACCAGTGCATCCTGATTCACGTCCGCTTCATGCCATCGATGGTTGGTCATAGGGCCGACGATAAGTTTAAGGTATTTCGTGATTTCTCTACCTTATTCCGATGATTACCATAACCAAAAAAGTCACCTTTTCCACTCTCACTACTTGACTTTTTCAGCAGGCTTTTTGTCCATACGACTTCCTCAAGTTTTGGGGATAGGGACATTGATATATTTGAGCCAGTTCACTATTTTTGGGATATCCACAAAAATCTTCCATTTTGGTACTGTAGCTGTCCACCTTCCCAATTGATCTGACGCTGAAGTGCATGGTATGATATCGAGAGGCAGCCAAGTTCACTCTGGAATGGAGTTACGAACGCTGCTAGCATCGCTCTAGTTGTAGTTAATATTTCAAAGTTTTGCGATGGTATGACAAGTCGATGGTCACTATCGCCTTGCTATTGAGTTTCCCAAGGTTGGTCATGCCGGTACTTGCAAGCCTACTTGACCGCAGCGACTTTATAATACCCATGCACCAAGTTATAGAGTGTAATTGTTGCTGCGGACTCTTGTCCGTGATGCGCGATGCGCGACCGCATAGAGTTTTGCGGTCGTGCTTCTTGGACAAACCCGCGTCCACCGCAGCGTCCGAACGAGAGTCACCGGCATTAATTGTCGCAACGATATCAGCCAGATATCATTGTATCAGTGAATGCAGGTGACTCTCGTTCAGCTACATCGTCCGCGTGCCCGACGACGACGAGACGTGGTTCACGATACCGACCGCCGGTCGCTGTGTCCAAAGCCGACATTGGGAAACTGCACGAATGGACTTTGCTTTTTCCATACAAATTGTAATATATTTGTTGGGACAATTACAGATGTAAGCTTACTGTTAGTTGGGATATCCCAATAGTGTGCAATTTTCGGGATACAAGTGGATGTCCCAACCCCAAATTTGGTACATACAGTATTCGGGACATCCGGTGGGGAAGATTTTGTCCCATCTGCTGTTCCAATATCGAGTTGGGACATAGTTGGGGATGCGGTGGAGATGCTCTTAGGCGCATGACTTTTAAGATCTATGTGCAAGAACCAATCAAAAGTTACCAATATTTAGGAGCAAAACTGTAGAACAATTGTATGTCGATTTGCTGGGAATTTCCGGATATAGAGAGGTCAAATCCCTACTTTCATAAACCACGCGACGGCGTTTGATGGGTTTACTTATCTGTGAGTGTGGCAGTTTCGCATTTGCGCGCCATTTCCAAACGCACGCCCTTCTGGCAGCTCGTCGATACCCATGAGCGCCATTGAGTCTGTTGTCTTCCACCGACATGCCAGCCCCAACACTATGATGCTATTCCTCTACGACTACTACAGTACTTCCTAGGGACGAAGAAGTCTTGTTTGGCAGTCCTCTATGGGAAGGACGAGAAAACGATTCATTTCACTTCCACGACGCACCACTACAGCCGAAAGTTGTCAACCTGACAGCGGACGCGTTGAGCTGACCGACAGTCTCTTTGATCGCTGCCTCAAGTATGAGCTCGTAAAACGAGGTTTTTTAGTGCGCCCCCACCTCTGGTTGTAGGCTTAGACGTGGGCTTTGTGAGGATACTGTATCGTGTTCCTCGCGGGAGTGTCTGCAACGTCCATGGTGGTGTCCGCGTCAGGGATGTTGTGAAGTGAGTTTCAGTGCGGCACGTTCTCTGAAAGCCTGTTATCTGAAAGGCTGGTTTCGGAGTAGCCAATCATAGTCTAGCATGAATAGATTAGCCAATGGGCGAGGTTTGTGATAGGTTCAGTCGGCGAGATTCGATTCGACGGAATCTGGAATTCTGTACCAAATCCGCAATACGTCCCCTTCTACGACAGAGATTGCAACTTTAAACATTCGTTGAAAATACATAACCTATGGTTACTTCAATAACTGTATACTCGGAGTAACACGAACACCAAAGTTATAAGCAAACTTACATAGTTTGATTAACTGTAAGCCAACAACATCGATCTAAAATAGATTGCCCAGTTCAGATCAATTTGGTTAGGTTTTCTCGATTTACTCTTGTCATAGAACTGCAAAACAATTAAATCTCCGCGTTTCAAAGGTCGAAAATGTTGCACATTGTACGTATAGTATGACCGTGGAGATTCGGAAGCTCCGTTCCAACTGTACGTATAGCACTTATGCGTGGAGATTCGAAAGCTGCGTTCCATCTGTACGTACAGCACTTATGCTGTGTCTTCAACAGATTATGTACTATTTACGTGAAGGCTTTGTCGACCATGATTTAGGCCCCAGTGACTAATTGCGACTGGGACGAATTCATTTTGTAATTTGCCTTTCGATCGGACTTCGCCAGGTCCGTCAAGTTGAGACACAACAGGACGCCATGATGACGTCAAGCTCCGCCGACCAAGGACCGGTGCGGCGCTTCTTGGACGGTGACGACACTGGCCCCAAGGACATGCATTTGCAGAGCACAGGTACACTGTAAATGTATGGCTACCCATTTACTCCATAAGTCTTCTTACCCTTATCCTTGATTCGCAGGAGTTGTCACCCTCCATGTTGTCGACGTCCCAGCCGATACTGACGATGATGATCACTCCAAGCAATCCGCGAAGCTACCCCATGGCGACAAGCCGCCACCACTCATGTGGTGCGACGGCATTCGTGGCGTGGCGTCGCAGATCGTGGTCACATTCCACTTGTTGTACTTGTTCAACTTCCTGGAACAGTACGCCGACACAACATGGTACCACACGCTGCGGGCGGGCCATGCGGCCGTGGAGATGTTCCTCATTCTGTCCGGATTCGTCCTCACCGTTCGTTTCTTCGCCCGCTTGCAAGTCATCGAGCGCGCTGTCGCCAACGGGGACGCCACCACCGTGCGCCTCGTGTATGTCGATGCGTATCTGTCAATGGCATCCACGGGTGTCCGCCGCATCCCTCGTCTGATGGGGCCGGTTGTAATCGGTGCGGTGCTGCACATCTTCATCTCGTTGTACCGGGGACATGCAATTGCGCCACTGGCCCTTGTTGAAGACGTCCTCAAGACCCTGTTTGTGATCTTCCCGCCGTTTAACTTGACGCTGTGGACATTGCGCGTGGAACTAGAGGGGTCGCTCTTTACCATGGCGGTGTGTGTGATGCTATCCAAGCTGCGATACCGCCACCGCGTCGTGGTGTGCCTCGTGGCCCTGCCAATATTCCACAATCGGTTCGGCGACTTGCCTCACTACTTTGGCTGTTTTATGCTTGGAATTCTTTTGTCTGACATTATCACCAAGCAGCAGCATCAACTAGCCCATGGCCCCTTACCATCTTCTGTTTCCCGTCAGGAAGCAACCGTGTTCCCCCGCACTCCCCCCAACACTGTCTCATCGTCATTGGAATCACTGGGATTATCCTTCTGCTACATGATCTATCATGCCTGGAAATCCGTCCACAGCACATGGAGTGCCGTTTGTCGACGGTTACCTTCGGGGGCGGAGCACATTGTGACCAACGCGTCGTACTCGTTGCTGTTTCTATTTGGCTCGTGGCTGTTCATCTACCGACCAGAGTATGCCGCCAACTACGGCAGTGTCGATACGCTGATCCGCTTAATCTTTGAAAAGGAGCATGCGCAGATGCTGCATCGACTCGGGTCGGTGCTCATCCTGTACACCGTGTGCTGGTCGGCATGGCTCCAACGAGTGTTTCAATGCCGGTTGTGCCGGTACTTGGGCCGCATCTCGTTCGGCGTGTACGTTGTGCACTGGCCCATTACGTTGTTGATGGGGGATTACGTCAAGCCCTGGGCCCAAGGACAGGGCTGGGAGGAAGAGACGGGCAAAAGACTCGCAGCGGCGGCATCTTATGTGGCGTCGCATGCTGTGGCCCATGTCACCACTGTGTATATGGACGAGCCATACGTAAAATGGCTGAGGGCGCATGAACGACGACTCGAAATGAACATCTCCCCCAAGCCCCTTCCTCGGCATGGTTAGGGAATAGCAACCAATGTTTTGTCCGTAGTACATGAAGCACTACGTACAGTACTTCGAAGTAATATATTATTACCAGGTATGCAACGTAAACAATCAATTTACAATCTAAGTGTAAGAACAAATCAAAAGTAACCAAAATCAACACGTACGGAGCAAAAACCCCTTTAACGCAATGTTACCCTTCGCTTTCTATCCAGATGATATATCTTAGAATGCATGAGAATACATAAGTTACTTACAGTTAACTTACCAGTGTCAATTTTGAAGTCCTCAAGTTGAGATTGTGTGTATTACTTCCGAATGATGGTTTTAATAAGCTTTCATTTGACTATACAAAACTAACGCGGGTAGGGCACCAGTCATCGGCAAAGACACCCAGTCATCGGCACTGTTGTAAGCCAATAGAAATGCCCGAATACCTCTTATTGGTCAAAATGTAGTTCTTCAAGAATTTGTGCCGCTTATAAATTAGAGGTTGGACCAGTCAATTTTGTGTTGATCATACAGAAAAGCAGTTAATACCCATTCTAAACACATATGCCTTTGATAGCTAATATGATGACAGCATCCCGCGAACTAGATAGAGTATGGAGGATTCAATACATTACACAAGTCTAAAACGTGTGCCGATGACTGGTGCCCTACGAAAAACGCTACTTTTGAAAATCCTTACTGCACGTGTTTACTATTTAAATTGATATCCTTTGAACCTCAATTCATGAGCTGAATCTTGCGGTTATTTTGATATTTGTATCATCTCAATATGTGTTGTAGTCAACGAGAAATCGACGAACAAAGTAAGCAAAGTGCGATGCTGATGACTGGTGCCCCACGTTACTGTGTTTCGTGAATTTCTTTCGTAAAGGGGTTATTATAGTACAATATATTCCATAAAGCCAAAATCTAGACCTATTCGGCACTTATGGATGCGATATGTTTCCACCACGTTGCCCACAAATAGCTTATGGGCCCATCTGGTAACCTCAACCATTACAATATTCTGGCTCAAAACGCCATTTTGGGGTGGAATTCAATAAATCTGAAAAGGATTGAAAGATGACTTGCTTGAAAAGTTTTAACCCAAATCCAATAATTCCATGTGGGATTTACTCCTTGAGAAGGTCCAAAACGCCATGTTACAAAATGGACCTACATGTATTACCTCCATTTTGAAAGTGGCATTTTTGGTTTATCCAATTGTCCAGAAAACGGAATATTATTTTTGAAATATTACCAGTCGCACCCTAAAACAAGCGGACCAATTTAAACCCATTTGCATATTTTTGGGCGGTTAGGTTAAAAACTGCCTTCCGAGGAATTGATTGGTTTATTCGCGTGCACCTTAAATTGGACTTTTACGTTACACCTCGATTGGTTTTATGGATTCACTGTCAATAACGTTATGATGAATGATGTGCTGTGACGATAAACTTTTGTCCTATATTAATATATTGTAGATTCGGTACAAATTTCCAGACCCCGTCAAATCGAATCTATTAGCTATTCCAATTTTGAGTCTATTTGATTGACTCATATAGAAAAGACAAGTATATTCAGCCAATCAGAACTTCCAGCGTGATTCAATATTGATTACAAAACCACGAGAATTTCTGAAGTTCATAGCGAATTCACAATATTTGTTGATGTGATTGTTTTGATAACGTTACGAAGTGGATCGCTCGACAAAAATGAGTTCGCGAACACATCAATTCCAATTCATACGTACAAGCACTGACCTCCAAATCGCCCGTCAAGTCCTCCTCCCCAGACTTTGTTTATTCCATGTGTTTATTCCATGCATTGAACTTTAGTCATGGCATAGATATAATACGCGGAATGCAACAGCACACAGAGAGGTAGCGACTCCTCTATCACTCAAGCAGCTCAATGTCATCACCCACGCTGTTGCTAATCCAAGGACAGTTGAAAAATCATCAAGCATATCACCATGATTTTGTAACGTACTGATAACACACAGTTGTTACAATGTTGTTCATTTGACCCGCCAAAAACTCGACTTTGAATTGATACCATGACCTAGGATGAAGTTCAGCCGCTTGTACACTACGTCCCCACAACCTCTCGTTGCATTCACAACGATTCGTTAAGCGTACTGCCCACCTCAAAGGTCAACTGTTAAACTCAACCAGGTACCTACTGTACACTGCATATGATTGTGGACAAGTTTCAGTGCAAGCAATCAGTAGTATATAAAGCAGCTGCCCTTTTGAAATATTTGGCACGACATGAGGTAAAGCCCCATGCATTCTTCCTTTATCCGCCGGCTGTGGCTGTTCTGTGGCATTTCAAATGTCAACGTTGAAGGCCGCCGAGCGGGGGTTATCCGGTTCCGGATAATTCCACCGGCGATCTTTTCGTGAAAGGGAAGCGAACAGGCAACACAAGAAGAATAGGACGGTATACAAACATCAAGATGAATTGACTCGTGCAGCATACATATTGCAGTTTTCCAGCAACCCCCAAAAACGAAACCGCTGACTCGTGCGTGTGGGTGCTTCATTTGATCTTGATCGTGCGACGTCGACAAGGATGGACGACTCGACATCATCCTCGATGGAAATGGCGCAACAGAAGCAGCCACGCATGATGCAGCTACAGCCAGCGACGACCTTGTTTGACTACCCCGCGCGCGCTCGGACGTCAAGCAGCAAGGGGATGCCGCCATTGTCCTCGACAATCGGTCACACGTTTGAAGATGACGAGCAGGACATCTTACGTCAGTTGCTTGGCATGGAATCGATGACCCCGTCGGCGTCCATGCAAGGCTTTCACCTTCACCGAAATGTTGCCACCGCCACACACCAACATGCGTCGACATCTCGACCGTACTTGGACTTTTACGAAGCATCCAGAGGACTTGGAGCAGTTCCTCGGTGGAGTGACGAGGAGGAAAAGTATCCAGTGGAAGCTGCGCCGGTGGGCTTGACCAAGGCGGTGGCGGCAGCAGCCTCAACGCTCTTGAACCCCGTCAAGAAACCCCACGAATGTGCGATCTGCCACAAGCGATTTCGAGCCAAATCCGAGTTGATCACCCACGAACGCATCCACACAGGCCACAAGCCTTTCAAGTGCATGTACGAAGGATGCACCAAGCGTTTTGCCCATAGCTCCAACTTGGGTACGATCATGCATCAGCGACTAGAAGATGCATATCGATGATGTCCTTAGGCGCCCATCACAAAGCCCATCAAGGCATCAAGCCATATGTGTGCATGCACGAAGGCTGCGGCAAGCGGTACGCGCACAGCGGATCCCTCAAGGAGCACGTGTGGAAGCATTATGGAGTGAAACCGTTCAAATGCAGCCACTCCGACTGCGATCGGACGTTTACTCAGCGGTCCAACTATTCCCGACATATGAAGAAATGCCACGGGCTGGACAACAAGGACGGCGGCGGCGGCGGCACTCGCATGGCCGCGAGTTATGCCGGCTCACCATCGGAAATCAAGAACGAGTTAAGTTATATGTAGCCAGGGTGAACTGCTTGGCCTTTTGATTTATTGACCGTAAAACAAAACTGAATTATTACATCCGACCCGTGGGAACATGGCAGAAACAATGAGAAACGCGCGCTTGTTGTTGTGTAAGTACATATCCAAGTATCTACTCCTCAACAACCCCACCGCTGCCGCTTAGATCTCGCGCTTGCCCAGCAGTTCCGTGATCGCGATCGCCGACGTGTACGAGTTGGCCGCGTATGTGGCGAAGTCTCGCTCGGTCGAGTGCGAAGGCTTCACGTATTGACGAGGCACGTCCGGAAAACCTTCCGGGGCCGTGTACTTGGCTTGCTGGTGGTGGTTGGCGACGCGACGGAACGACGCTTCTTCGACGTTGCGGTTTTGGGCGTTGAACGCGGCGCCTTGCAGCAATTCCTACCGACAACACCGTCAGTCAACAGATCATGGACATGGCGGCCACCATTCCACGTACGTACCAGCTCTTCCCGGGCGCTACGGTCACGGCTCTTCATGCCGCCGTTGATCCAGTACGTGAAGGGTGTATCCATGATGGTTGTGCACAATTCAATGATGCTCAAGGCTTTGGCGGCGTCAAATTTAATTCATTGGCATACAAACATCAAGTACAAACAATAAATTACCAGCGTGGCTGGCTAAGCGGCTTAGCAGTGAGGTCGCACTTATCAAGGAGAATTGATACGTACTTTATAGAACCAGGTTAAGTACGAAGTCGAGTAAATTAGCACAATACTACCGGTACTGTAACAACAGTCCCGCCGACGGGATCACATGCTACAGCGGCTCCTTCTCCGAGCAAGTCTCAAGGATCGTACAAGTAGATCTACGATATCTTTGAATACAGACAAGAAGGCAAACAGAGTCGTGCATGTGTACCTTGGTGCCCTTGAACTCGCCTGTGCGGGTCGGTGTCCACGATGGAATGGAGAATATGTTGGTGCAAATCTTGACGCCGCGAGCCCGGGCTTCGATGAGTCTAACGCATGTACAAACACAAGTGATATCGCTTAGCTAAGATGCAATCGTAAAGCTTCATGGTGTGCTTGCACTGACCGGGGTAGCAGAGCTTGGATGCCTCTGGGAACCAAATACAAGAAGATCAACGTGGCATCGGTGAAATCCGCGTCCGTCGCGTCTTCATGGCGAATACTCACAAGATCAACGACATGGTGCTGTTCCACAGATAGATGTGCTCGACGGACAAGGTCTGCGTCATACTCGATCCCAATACATGTGCAACCCGTCGACACCGCCGCCGTCACCAGGAAGCGCGCGTCGCCACATCCAATGTCGTACACCACATCGCTCTTTTGGGGTCGGAGCATGTCCATCGCCACTTGTATTGCCCCATCTCCTGTCGGGTTGAACGGTGCAAGGTTTGTTGCAAGCACTGCCGCGGTTGTCATGGCGGTAGATTTCAAGTTATCCGGAATCGACTTTATCCGGATACCCGTAGATAATGCATTACTAGTACAGTATTCGCGATGGACGGTGGATTTCAAGGCGACGGACACTTCGTCGGCGACGGAGGTGCGACCTTGCAGGCCCTATGGTATACAAAGCACATGATGTTCATTCGTGCGTCTTTGTCGATGATGGATGCGAGTGTGTAGGGAGGCTTGGACGTGGAAGATGATTCCGAATTGTCCAGGAAGGTATGTGACAAAGAAGAACAAAGTGCTGGCGGCGATGCCGTTGGAAGACTTGGTGGGGCTATTAAACAACAACGTCGACGGCACCAGTGGAGGAACGCAAGACATTCGAGTGATACACACGACCAGCGATACGATCGTGGATGCCGTCCATGTGGCTGTGTTTCCTGATGGAGGTGGTGTCATTACCTACTGCAAGCCCTCGGGTGCATTTGTGCACACGCTGAACACGCAGTCTGGATTAGAACGGAAATTGGCGGGCTTGAGGTTGTCCTCGTGTTTACACGATTGAAGTTGATTGTGGCACAGTATACCAGGCCCAACCTACGCAATATTGCAATTTGCTAATATCAAAGAAATGTTTTCATGCAATTTATGGTCAAGTTGAGGCGGTAATATATGCAAGTGCGTTGGTTTTATCAAGTGACTTCGTAGTTTCCTCAAATCTATGAGTAATAACACAGCGAGAATCGATGTGAAAGCTCCTTTGTACTTACACTGTACTGTTGTCCATGCATGTGATCAGCTTCACCCTGCCTCGGTGAATGCGTTTCAAGTACTACGTACCCGTAGTAGTGTACTCAATTCTTCATCACGGTCTATAAATAGGTTGCCTTTGCCGCTCTAAAAATAGAATGGACGGTCGCTGATTGGTGGAGATACTGCCGAGATCTGTTGCGAATTGACTTGATTTTAGTATACGTGGCCCACTCAGGTCGAATATCTTCCGACCTGGATATATTAATATTAGCGTTTATCTAGGTATTTGTATCCAGTAATAATTCACCATTTTTGAATTGTCGCAACAATCCCCACAAGGCGTTTCTTCTGCTCGAGAATCGCCACAACTCGGTTCTGACGGTCATTTCCGAACCCCGTCCGTCACTGCGATGCCGTCGTCGCCAACACACTCGTCCATCGCCATGGTGCTGATGAACTTTAGCAAGGTGGAGGAGGACAAGACCATCGCTCCCTCGTCTTCGGACGCTAACAGTAAGGTGCTTCGTCCGCATCCACCGTTCAAGCGACTTAAGCCAGGCGAGCAGGACAGGCCCAAAGTGGAGAATGCACCCACGGGTCAACGCGCCATCTCCATGGAACAGATTCGCGTGAACATCATGAAGCGACGAGAGAAGTTGACCCAGGAGAAGCACGAACGATCTCTCATGATCGACACGATGCATCTCCTACGCGCAACTGAGTACCACCACCGGCGGTTCCGAGCCCACAAATCCACCCCCACCGTCATGCTGGCACCTCGAACTGAAGTGTCCCCATCCTCGTCTTCTGTCGTGCCGCCCATGTCCATGCATGCCATCGCGGCCAAAATCCCGCGCTTTCCAAGTCTGTATGTGAGAGACGACGACATCGTGGGTTCCGCCGAGGATGCTGCCGCGGGTTTGTTGTGTCGATATTCCACGGGGAAATGTCCACACTTTCGCGCACAAAAGACAGACGGCACGTACTTGAGCCTGTGCCACATGCATCGCATCCGGGCCAACGCCAACCAACGCAAGTTAGACCGAAAGAAGATACCTACTCGAGGCTACCGGTCAGAAGATCCACAGACAGCCCCGTCGTCCTCGTCAAGCAGTGGCAACAACGACAGTCCCCGCAGCACCACTAGTTCGTCGTCACTCCCGCAAGATGCATCGTACTCTAAGGATTTGGTGACCCTCGTGCGCCGCATATTACAACCGACCCATAACCGACCCATCAGCACCAGTAAGAACCAACGCCGACAACACATGGACGACACTAGCAGTTGCAGTAGCGACGACACTACGTAAGACTTTATGTAAACGCAAAACATGCACGTTTAATTGAGCTGGTCAACATGCCAATAAGCATGGAGTATGCTGCCCTGTTGACATGAAAATGCATAAATATGCAATCGTAAGCAGCCGAGGGATCGATGAATCTACTTTTTGTACAAACCTTTTCTATCTATCGATTCTTTAATTTTGTGATTAACGTTACTATTAATATACAGTAGCTACGTATAGTATTGTCCACTTCCTAATTTTGCATGGTTCGTTCAATCGAGCACAAATAGAGCCGAGACATCTGATTGGCCATTATCCCACTTCGCCCTTTCCAGTAGAAACTCGAAAATGGATTGTAGCCAATCAGCGACAAGTAATTTCGGATTGACCAATGAGAGAGATTGGTGCTCGATTCGCTCGGCGAGATTCGATTGAAGGGGTCCGGAAATTCATACCGAATCTCCAATAGTAAGTTAGTTTTTATTGTGTGTTGTACTCAAAATTTCCTCCGGCGGTTAGTTGAATACAATCGCCGGACTTTCGAAATTTCATATACTAATAAAACTACTACTGGTAAGTAAGTTGAAGAGGTATCTTTGTGACTGCAATACTAGAAGCAATCTTTTTACCCAATCGTATTGCAACCTTCATATTTTATAGCCAATCATACTCCTTTGCTCGATTAGTTGGCGATCATCCCCAAATAGGCAAATTAGTGTGTGACTTCAAATAATGTAAATGACTTCACACATTGTACATACAAATCGACCGATGGATTTGGTGAAGCAGCGCAAATACTATTCAAATTTTGGCTGATAGTACAGTAACGTGAATAATAGTACTAATACTTCCTAGTACTACGTAGTAAGTAGTATTAGGCAACTTGAGTACGGGTAAACACATTTGTGGTGAAGAGAACGAGACACATTTGTACTAGTTAAGTGGTAGATACTGTAGGACATGATGGGAATCTCATGTGTATATGACCAAGAACACGAGCACAATCAACACGCCTGTGAGCATGAGGATGCCGCCGAGTTGACAAGTGTCTACAGGCCCATCGTGAACCACACCAAACAAGTCATCATGGGACAGACCTTTGGTTTTCAGCAGCCGACTCATGCGCGTCATGACAAAGTTCATTCGTTCCTGGGTATCGTCCACGTCCATTTCCATATCTTCGAGCATTCTACGCAGCACAATCGGGTCAAGGAGATCACGGCATGATCATCAGCACGCAGTTATATTGGTGGTGGTGTTAGTGGTGGTTAGGCACCTGTTTTGGGTCTTGATTTCCGCGTTGATGTCCACGGCGACGTGACCCAGTCGACTCACAGTCGTGTGCAGTTGATCTAAGTTCTCGTCCTGATCTTGCACGATTTGCTACAGACATGACCTTAGAGGCAGGAGTGGTGCATGCCGTTATGCACCTGCTGCCGCGCCTTTTCGTCCACGAGAATCGCGTTGCGATCGATGGTGGTCGTGGTGGTCGTGGTGGGGGACGACGCGGCGCTCTGTTGCGATGATGACGAAGTTCGCAACAACTATTGTCCGACGAATGTTCACATAATTAATGTAAGCATGACGGAAGCATAATACCCTGCGTTCATCCCGGAGCACGCGAGTCTTGACGGCGTCGGAAGACACTTCTGCGGAGATGCTCATGAGTTCCTACGTGTGCAGCCGTGGGTTAGCACGATCCACGGGAACGTCGAGGAGGTACATGGCGTGTAGAAGATACGAATGCCTTTCGCCCCGACAGTTCGACGCGATCGATGTGCGCGTACTTGGTTCGGTCGCTCTCGATCGCTCGGATGCTTTGCTCCAGGAAGCCCAACGACCGCTCCGCCGACGCCACTTCTTTCTTCAAGTCCTCGGTGGTTTTGGGGAACTTGTTTGTCGGCGAGCCACCGACGTCGTTCCATAGTAGTTTCCACCGCTTGTGCGTGTGATGGATCGACGACACCTTGGTCTCCAGCTCCCTACATGGGATTAGAGTTGCGGCCTTCGTCGCACATGTGTTGGACGCACTCCTTGAATACGTAGTATGGATCTCCACTAGCTGATGCACCTCCTCCGCCGACGCTACTTCCAACCAACGATGTCTGCATGCTTCAATCGCTGTCGTCGTCAGTACTGCGATCAAGGCGTTTTGTTCTTCCGTTCGAAAATCCAGCATCCGGATATATCCGGACATCTTTAAAATGAGAAACCTACACACAGAAATGTATTCCAACCTGCGCAACCAATTAAATTGCACAACCCCCCACGACGATATCAGATAACGTCACAAATAATTGTATTTTTGGTCAAGAATTAACAAATAAAAATTTGGAGAAGCAGGGTATCGATCCCTGTACCTCCCGCATGCTAAGCGGGCGCTCTACCATTTGAGCTACATCCCCATCAACGGCATTTCCCCCGTCGACAACGGCCATACTTTTGTCGAGCGTATCATGCGCAAGGCAAACATTGTCGCATTACAAGAGACGAAACTGAAAGACAGCCATCACCTGTCCACTTTCACCTACCACATTCAACACGCTCTCGGGCACGGGAAATGCTTCATTGCCGTGAATGACCCCCGTGCCAACCCCGATTATGTCCCCGCGCTAAATGAGGACATAGCGCATCGTAGCGGTGGCGTCGCCCTGGTCTTTGACGACACAGTCCCCCGGCATATGACCGAGCTCGACGTCGCCTACAAATACATGGTGGTCAATACCCATTGGCAGGAGACCCCTGTATACTTCCACTGCGTATATGCACCTGTTCAACCAACAGAACGGGTCGCATTTTACGACAGTCTACCACGCGACTTTCCAGAGGACAGCATACACGTAGTGATGGGAGATCTCAACCTACCATTTGACCTGTATCTTGACGCGGACAAACCACACCACGTACATACCGTGGGCCGAATCAACTGTTTGGAGTGGCTTGCAGCCCTACGTGTGACCGACGCTTGGCGCATGCATCACGATGAGGATCGTACCTATTCGGGGCCACACAAAACGACCCGCTTAGACTATATCCTTGCCGATACACACCTTGTCAGAGACTGCTACGTCTCAAGCGACTACAAACGGCCGGACGCACACGTAGCTGGTGACCATGCGATCCACACACTCGTGCTAGAGGACACACATCAAACGATGGGGAAAGGATATTGGAAACTGCCGAAGGAACTCCTATAGTACCCTCAGGTGCGAGAGGCCATCGCGACGGAGGCTTCAAGACTCCTCGTCGTCCTCCGCGACGCACAAAACCCAGGCGTTGTGTGGCATGCTTGGAAGAAACGTACACGGAGGTTCCTCCAAGAAGCCCACCGCCACGTCAAACCGCATTTTTTACGAGAAAAGACAGCCTCCGCCGTACGCTTGGCGGAAGCGCGGCGCCTACACAGCGAGGGGTTGTCAAATCTCGAAGATATCGAGGAGGAGGAGAAACTTTTCCTCGAATCGGAGGACTT